TCTTGAATCTCTCTGTTTCAACCTCCAAGAAACCTTGACATAACCATGTCTTCACTTTCTCTTAGATCAGTCTTGATCATAAGCGTTTCCAGCTCTTGATAATAATCTCTAACAGACTTAGTACCTTAAATAAGACGCCTAAGCTTGTTAAGAGTCTCTCTTTGGTAATGTGTGGGCACAAACTTCTTCCTCATTTGCGTGACTAACTGTTCCCATGTAGTGATAGCAGGCTCTCTTTGTCGATGTCTAGTAAGTCCTAGCTGCTCCCACCACAACAAAGCATAGCCATTGAATTCGGATATGGCTATCTTCACCTTGTTCAGCTCATAAGTACCCTGAACCTGAAAGTTAGACTCCATCTTCCTTTCCCAGTCTAGATAAGTCTCTGGATCATTGGCACCATGGAAAGAAGGATACTGAATCTTGAGATGATTCAGCTGCTGCTTCAGAGGATCATAATCTCTTCCATGATCTCTGTTTCTGTTTCTCCTCACTGTCTCTTGACTATGATCTGAAACGTCATCTGCTTCAGAACAATCTCTATCTGACTCAATGTAGATTCGATGCCCAGGTACTTGTTCAGCTCGTCGTGGACGTATATGATCTCTGTCAGTCCTACGGTTTCCCCTTTCTGTACTTGGAATATCTCTTCTCTGATTGAAACATGTTTCTCTTCCCCCAGTAGGTGAATTAGCTGTTCTGTTCCGTGTATGCTTTGAAGTAGATCCCACGTGAGCCTTTCCTTTAACTAAACGACGGGCCTCATTAGGACTAGGTGGTTCTGTAGAACTTTGATTTGAAGCGCTAGATGTTTGAGCTATGTCTTTAATCTGCTTCTCAAACTTGTTACTGAGCTGCTTCATCTGTTGTTGAAATTGAGTAGACATTGTCCTGTTTGCTTCTGCTATTTGCTTAGACATGGCTTGGTTCAAAGCTTCCATAGCTTCTGGAGAGAGCTCCATTGTACCTGGAAATTAAAGAAGAACTCCCAGTAACTTGTTCTTTGAATGAGAAAACAAAGAAACGAAAATGAACTCTAAGAATCTGAATTTTAAACAAGAAACACGACTTGCAGACCTAATGTAAAGCAGAACAACACAAACTCGAACAATACCAAACCCTATAGCTAACGAACTCGAAATAACTAAACCCTAATTGCAGTTTAATTTCAAATCAACACAAAACTAACTTCTAAGCGAACTAGACACAAACGCACTAACAAAAACTAAACCCTATTCGATCTAGACACAAACGAATTCAACAAAAGACAAAACAAACCCTAAACTAAACAAACGAAATCAAGCAAGAGATTAGGGTTCTTAGAATCGCTTAGCCTTGGCACAGAGTTGGCTCTGATACCACATAATATGATCTCCCTAGGATAGAACTCCGATGAAGGCTGAAGATAGGTGATAGGCGACGTGAGTTTGTTGATGATGATGGGCGATGAACGTGAGTGATGATATGAGAAGATTGAATGATGAAACAATGGTTTGATGGAGATAGATGTTTAGGTGGTGGTATGGATTGTAACAATGAAGAGTTTCTGAATCACAAAGTGTATAGAAACCCGGAAATCTATAACGCATTCAAGAATTCGAATTGAGAGAAAAAAGTGTGACAATACTTGTTCATACAACTTCTTCGCTAAAGAGAAAAGAGGCGTAGCTTTGGGTTTTAAATACCCTAGGGCACGACACTCAAAACAACAAGAAGTTCAAAACCAAAACAACAAGACGTTTTAAGGAAATAATAAAAGCAACAAGATTTCCCGACGCCCTGTAGTAGTACAGAAGTCGGCTGAACTAGTACAGAAGCTTGACGACCTGTAGTAGTATAGAAGTACATTATTCCCCTTTGGTAATGATTTCTAGATAACTCGACGTAGTGATCATTTGCCTCATTAAAAACCATGCTGAGAAAACCCATTGGGACAAAACTCAGCTATGGGAAAAAGAGTACAAACTTCTCACCTAAGTTACCTAG